TATTTCCTGAGAAAAGGTGCATGGAAGACTTGTCTAAAAATTTCTTTATACTATCTTTACACTTGAGTGATAGTTTGGCTGGATACAGCCAAATACAGTGATCTAAGTTAGTGTATTAAAGAGTCTGACTTTGTTTTTTGATGTTTGACAGCTTTTAAGCCTCAGTCCTCCTTCTTCCCCTTGTGCCCTGCATCTGGAAAAGCTGGTAAGAATGCCCTAGTGCTCCCTTCTTTGGCACTGGCATTAAGTTTAGATCAAGCATGAGAACCCTTACCCAGGCCCCACCACCTAATCACCATAAAAACCCCAGTCTCCTTTCCTGGTTCTCTCAAGCCATTTTCAAACCTGCTTGGGAGTCACCCTTCTTTCTAGAAAGCCTCAATATGTGAGTAATAAACCTTTTCAAACTCTCTTGGTGTGTAGGTTGCATCATCAGTCTTAAAATCCAAACCAAATTTTTGGTGGAGGTCCATCCTATCTCTCTGAAATCATTTCTCTGTAGAATTTTAAATGCATTTTCCACTGTGTTCTGGATTTGCTCTAGAGAAACCCAATGCCATTCATATTCTTGATTGCTTATTTGCACTGATTATTTTTTCTCTGAAAGACTGAAGGATTTCTCTCTTTATCCTGGGGATTTTAAAATTTTATAACGTTGTACCTTGGTGTGGGTCTCTTTTTCATTTGTTATGCTGGGCATTTGGTGGGCTCTCTCAATGTACATATTCATGATCATTTTTAATTTTAGAAAAATTTCAAGTTTTATTTGCTTAATAATTTCCTTCTGTTTACAATGCCTGGAACTGCTATATTTTAGACGTCAGCATCCCTGATCTCACTTTATTGAGATATAATTCATATTATAAAATTTACCAATTTAAAGTATACAATTCAGTGATTTTTAGTACAGGTAGTTCCTAACTTACAACAGGGTTCCATCCTGACGACTCCATTGTACGTCAGTTCTAACGTAAGTTGAATATCTCTTCTTTTTTTTTTAAAGTTTTCATTATTATTGACTTTTATTATCAGTATCTTTATAAATTCGATCTTTATTTGTTGGAAACATTATTTGTTATTTGTTGGAAACATTATATACAAACTCACAGATACGATGACATCAGCAAATTATGCACTGTAACACTGTATGCAGTACATATGACTAACGATAAGATATACAAAAACAAAAACAAACGGTCTTAAGTGCAGTTTGTGGTAACTTGAATACGTGGTAAGTCAGGGACTACCTGTATAGTGAAACCTGTGAGAGCCAGAACCCAACAGGACTGCCTTGTTTTTCTGGGTCTTCCAAGTTTTCCACCTTTGACAGGGCACAGTCTTACCACTTTTCTATCACTCTGTATTAGTGGAAAATATTTGAGTTTTCCTTCAACAGGTTTCTGCCTTAAGCAGGTTCCGGCTTTCACAGATTTTTTGTATATTCTGAGTTGTACCACCATCACCACTATTTTTATCTTTTATCTTCTATCTCTTTGATGTTTGTTGAACTTTCTGAGATATTTCCTTAATTTTACCATTTAATCTTTCTGTAGAATTTTTATTTCTAGTTTCATATTTTTACTTTTTAAGAATTATTTTGTTCTCTGAATGTTGCTTTTTACAGTAACCTGCACTTCTTTCATGGACACAACATCTTTTCATCACTCTGAGGATATTAATGAAAATACAGCTTTTAAAGTTTTCTTTCCCCTGTATTGTCTGTATCCTTCAAGATTCTTTTTATCTGCTATCTTTTATTTTAAATGTTTTCCTCAAATGTCTGGTGTTTGTGTTTGTTCGTTCATGAGAATGAAGCACTAAAATACTAAATGGAAGCTCTGGATTCATAAGTGGGGTGTATGAAGTATCTGGCTTTACTGAAGGGCATTTAGACAGGGACAAGGCCATTACTAACAGAATATAGGTCTTCTCCTAGGTATGTTTCCCAAAGAGGTATCGGTATCCTCTAATCTCTTACTTGGGGTATATTTGTATGGCTGCCAATGTAGCAGCGGAGTGGGATAAGATCTGGTGGTTTCACCACTAAGTATGACTTTCCTTAATCCTTTCCACCTAGTTTTCGGTGTACATTTCTGCTTTCAACAGTACCTAGCATCCCTAAGTCCAGTCCCTCTAGTTCAATGTCTCTGGACTGCCAGGGTGTGAAGAAAGGTAGTTGCCTCACTACAAAGGGCGGGGGAAAGGATAAAAATTTTCCTGTTTTCAACACTATCTGTATCCACTCCTTCAGGAATATGTGACGCTTACAATTTCTGAATCTACAGCCTGAATCAGTTTGCTTCTTGGTTTCTCCCTAATCTAGGCACCTAGCTTTCAGTTGTTGTTTTGTTTTTTGTCTAAGTTAATTATAATTCATCCATCTATCTTCTAGATCCAACTTTTTTGATTCTCTTATAAGTTGAGGTCTGCTCTTTCCACCATATGACTCTATGTCTTTTTTATGCTTTTACTATTATTTTAGTGGGGTTTCAGAAGGGAGATATAAATATGTGTGCTCAATCTTCCACATTAAACCTGAAGTTCTCAATTAATCTTTCAACATATTATAAAATTACTAGATTCCAAGGGAGAATTAAAACGGTTACATGTTAAATAAAATTCTGTGGGCTACTCAAACCTAACACATTTATACCATTTTATTATTGGAAAAAAGTGGATAGGAAGAAAAAAGGTAGTACTTGCTCTCAAGGGCCTTAGAGCCAAGATGAAGAGATAGACGGAAACATTACACTGCTGTTTTAAGTACGATAACACAAGTATACAAAAAGTACCACAAAACTACTAGGCTAGAACAACTCATCTAGAATGAAGTCAAAAAAGGCTTCCCAGTAGAGATGGCACCTGCGCTTATTCTTGAAGAATAAGAAGTGAACCAGGCAAAGAAGGAAAAATATCTGTTGAACATCTTCTGTGTCCTTTTGCACTATATTCTACGAAAAATTCCTCTTATTTTCCGGCTCACTAATTTGATTTTCAGCTGTATTTATTACAATGTTAGGCCTATTTATTGAGCTTTTAATCTGATGATATTTTTAGTTTCCAAGTCTATAATCATTTTTTCATAGCAGCCTGTTGTTATTATATGGATTCAGTGGCCTCTTGTCTCTCAAAAGATATTTAAAGTTTTCTGCCATTTTCTCAGTTGTTAGTTTTTCCTCAGTTGTTAGTTCTGTTTGTTATACGTGTTGCCTCTCTTCCATGGCACTAGTTTTCTTCAAAGGCTGTTCCTAATTGTCTGTTCATATTTCTATTTGAGAATCTCTTGTATGGCAATGAGTATAAATTCTGGTAACAGTAGCCTATCTCTGGAGATTCTGGAAGAGCAATGAGATATTCTGGGAACTTGTGTTCTGGTGGGGATGTCCACTGTATCTTCTGGTATCATAGGTTACATGGGACACTGTGCTAATTGTCTGGGTCAGTGTCCACGCAGGAAGTCTCCTGCATCAGAATTCCCATTTCAGAGAGCCATACTATATCTATCCTGGAGTTAACAAACATAAGCATTATCTGTCTTCTTTTTTTTTTCCTCCCTCTGCTATCTTTGTGGCTATCTGGAGCTACTTCAGGATATCCTCTGCTTCTCACTCCAGCCCCCAAATTGACCTTTAGGGGTCAACCCCTGACCGAAGCTCACTTTGCTTGGGAGTAGTTCTCAGGCTTTTAACGTGGCAGCAAGAGCCAGTAGCTATCTGTGTTTCCAGTATAAGAAGGGAATGAGGAGAAGGGGACCAAATATTCCCAATGTAGTTCTTAATTCACCACCTTGACAAGTCTGTCAGGGTCGCTTCTATTATAATTTTTTGCATTTATTGACCAAGAGTTTGGAGTTTCTCTAGCACTACTCTTACCTCTGCAGTAGTTTTTATCTGCTCTTGATATATTCATCAATCTCACCTTTTAAGAATACCTCAGAATTTCTGGTTTTTTGACAGCACCCTTTCTTATTTTCAAGAACAACTTCAATTATACCAATATGTAGACTGATTACAAACTTGTACATCCATCCCTCCATAACCAGCTGCCTATGTCACTATTGTTACTTGGTTATCTTAAAGGCACCCATAACATATTAAAAACTGAACTTATGATCTTCCCCTTAAACCAGATCTTCATTGAAAGGCATCACCTTGTATCTAGTTATGCAAGCCAGAAACAGGAGTCATCCTTGACGCCTCCCATCTCCTTCACTAGTCATTTGCCAAATCCTGTCAATTTCACTTCTTAAAATAGCTACCAGATCTGTCCACTTCTTTCCATCTCCAATGTCACCACCTTATTATATCCTGCCATTATTTCTCCCCTGAATTACTGCAATAGCCTCCTACTTGCATACACTCTTGTTCCTTTCCACTCCTTTTCCCATATTGCAGCCACTGATCATTATCATTTTCACTTAAAAGATTTCATTGGTTTCTTGCTGCTCTAAGGATAAAGACTAATGTCTTTGACATAGCCTAAAGGCTTTGCAAGGCCTCTAATTGACTGTTCAACCCTGTCTTATGATTACATTTCCTCCTGCTCTCTGTAGTCCAGCCACACCGGCCTTCTTTCGGTTCAGTGGACACATAATGCTCAGTCCCAACTTAGGATCTTTGCACATGCCATTCTCTCTGCCTGGATTACTTTTTGCTTATCTCTTTGCAGTTGATTTCTACCCTTCTTCAAATCTCAATTCAATTTTCATTCCCTCATGGAAGCCTTCCCTAATCTCTCCAACTAAGTTCGATTAGTTACACTCAAGTCATTAAATATTTATTTCTCTTTTGTAGCACTTATCACTATTGTAATTGCACATTTACTTGTATGTACTTGAAGGTTTTACGGATGAGATTCGGAGCAAAGGCAGACAATCCATCTTAGACTAAGGGAAGGATACCTATTCCACAAAGATGGGAAGATAGGGCAGAGGTATGAATGGATGCTTATCTTTGACAGAAGGACAGGAAGCTGAGGGAGTTCACATCTGGCAGTCTTACCTGATACTAGTTCACTATTTGATGAACTACTGTCAACCTGAAGGTCAGTCACTGATTCCTATGTAGAATAAGAATTAAAGATATAGCATAAGTTATGAGATTGAATATTTTTATATTACAGTGTTATACCACATTGATTTGGCTATTTTGAAAATGAAGAAATAACATCAACTTTGTATATAGTTTCATACATACTATGTATTCCTTCAGCTTACTGATCATAGATATAATCTCATAAAATTTAATATTAAATCTAAAGAACAGATATTAAAATACAATGCTGTGGACATATCTAGGGAGTCGACAATCTATAACTACTATGGGATAAACCAATAAATAGGTAATGAAGGTGAATATTTTTCTTATCCCTTAGAGAGGAAGGACTTTTTTTCCTGCAAATATAAGAGCAAAATAAATAAACTAAGAGAAAAGATAGCTAAGTCTAAAATATCAGAAAGTAAAGGAAAACAAACAAATAAGGAAATGCTTGTTACGTATGTATGTGTGTCAAAGTATATCTTCAATATGAATAATGAATAGGTGTTGCACACAAAAAAAGAAATGCAAACGGTCAATAACATGAGAAAAGAGTACGCAAATTAAAACATGCTACTTTTCTTCTAATAAAGATTTTCTTTCTTTTTTTTTTAAATTTCAGGCAAGATGGTGCCAATCTGCCAACATGAATCAAAAATCTTAAACATGATCCAACCTCCTGACCCAGTGCAAAGTATTTGCCTTATGGTAATAATCTGAGGTTCACACATAAACTTCTGTAGAAGGATGTCCACTGATGTATAACAGCAAATCTTGGAAACAATCTCAATCCCCCCACCACGGGAAAATGGTTACACATTATAGTACATCTATCTACAAGACGAAGTACTATGCAGACACTAACCATTGTATTTTTTGAAGACTAATGTTAGGGGAAGAGGCTGAATATACAATAAGATAATATTTTCTAGAATTTTTTAAGTACAGAAAAAAAAGAATGGGAAGAAATATACAAATATTAGAAGAAACTTTTTTTTTTACACTTTTTTTTGCATATTCTGAAGAATCATCTACAAGGAATGCTCAACATTGTTACAGTCTTTTTTCTGTGTGTGGTAAAATACACAAGATCCTTTGAAAAAAAAAAAAAAAGGCTTGTGTTGAAACTGCCCTCCTCACACACAGATAAACACAAATGTTATAGTGGAATATGTAAACTAATAACTTGTAACTTGACTATCAGATTTAATGTCTAGTATCAGATGAGTCACAACCCATTTTTAAACTGTGAATTTTCCCCAAACTATTGAAGTACAGCTTTAAAGTATTGTACAGAATTCATATTAAATACAGTAGATCAGAAGTTACATAATATTGTAATGGTAATGAATCCTGTTTCTAGTGGTTGATGGAAAGTCAAAGGTGAAAATGGCTTTAAAATGTTTAAGTGCCACTAAACATAACGAGTTATTAAGAAATGTTTTGTATCTGTCACAGAAAATTGTCCAGTAACATATATTTCTCAAATCTTTTCAAGTGAAAGCAAAAACAAAAACGCATGGCTAGGAACCAACCTGAATCAGAAATTCAAGGCCCTGTCTAAAGATACAAAAGCGATGTTTATAAAAATACCAGAAGCCTATGGAGTTTCTATCAACAAAGACCAATTTATTCTTTTATGCTGAGGTACATGAGGTACTGCAGGTCTCTTAAGCGTATCCAAGAAACATAGGAGAAACATACATACAGTCAATGGAGGACTCTTCTCATCCTGGGTCTCTTCACTAGTGCTATTTTCTTTCAGGCTTTTCTCTCCTGTAACTCTTAACTGAGTGCTAACAAACAAAACAACATAATTAGTCCGTACGGTCTGGACTTGGCTGTCAATGTATCTGTTCATTACTGCTCTGAACCTAACAACTCTTTGGAGACATTCTTAGGAAGTAAGAAACGGAGTGGATAAATTCCACCAATACCCAAATCATGCTACAAAAGCCTTCTCAGAGGTTTTATCTCACTTGCTTTTAGGTAACAGGCAAGATTTCCACTTTTTTTAAACAAAATTTTCTGTCAAATATTTGGGTCTGTGTTCAGAGAGGATCCCTAGTGGCGCAGTGGCTGCTAACCAAAAGGTTGGCAGTTTGAATCCACCAGCTGCACCTTGGAAACCTTATGGGGCTGTTCTACTCTATCCTAGAGGGTCGCTGAGTCGGAATCGACTTGAGGGCAACAGATTTTGGTTTTTGTTCAGAGAAAAGCGAAATCAGAGTATTCATTTATTTTCTTCGTTGATTCTTAGAATGAGAGGGTATTAGCAAAAAATTAGAAACGGAATTTTTCTGAGGAGGCCAGAAGGTGTAGGGCTGTTATTCGAGGCTACTCACCTCAGAAGCCGAGAGCCGCTCCCGCCCCGCCGGCTGCGTTCGGCTTTCTCCACGACCTTTGGCAAACCCTGCGCTGCTTTGCGTTTCCCCTTCAGGCCTGCGAAAACGCGACACGTTTCAGGGCAACAGCCCGGGAGCCCCGCCCATGGGTCTCAGGATCCTTGGGGCTGAGGCCTGGCCGCTTGGCCCGCTGCGCTCACCCGCCCTGGGTCCCGCCCCAGAGGCCGGCCCGACTAGGCTTACAGTGGGCAATGAGCCATCGGCCCGGGCCTGGTGGGGCTTCTGCCTTCGTGGGGGCGCTTAGGTCCGGAGTCGGAGTTAGGTTAAGCCTCTGGCCGGCCCGCTTATTGCGGGTATAGACCCGTAGCGGCCACATTGCCAGCCTATCCCCAGGCCTCGTGGGCCTCTTGGCCACTCTCGACGTATCCCTGAGGAATGGCACTACAAGCGGAGGGAATCACCGCCCAGGCGAGGCCTGCGGAGCAACCTGACAGGTGCCAAAAAAAAAAAAAAAAAACCGACAACGAAGGCCCCAGAACTGCAACCACAACCCTCAGCCTCGCTCCCGCCTTTTTATTTCTGCGAGGCCGCGCGGCGGCTTCTGGGAAGACCCAGAGTGAGGCGTCGGCCCCACCCTTTTGACCATTGGCCTGCATGGCACCTGGGCCTCTGCCACAGGCTACTTACTCTGTGCTGAAGGGAAACTAATTAGAAAAAGCCTTTTCCTCGTCCAGGAGACCTTTGTTTCTGTGTTTTGTTGTTTGTTTTAATTGTGCTTTAGGGGAAAGTTTACAGAGCAAATTAATTTCTCATTCAAAAATTTGTACGCAAATTATTTCGTGACGTTGGTTGCAATCCCTGCTATGTGTCAGCACTCTCCCTCTTTCCACCCTGGGTTCCCCGTTTCCATTCATCCAGTTTTCCTGTCCCTTCCTGCTTTCTCATCTTTGCTTTTGGGCAGGTAGTGCCCATTTAGTCTCCTATACTTGATTGGTCTAAGAAGCATGTTCCTCCCAGGTGTTATTGTTTGTTTTATAGGCCTGTCTAATCTTTGCCTGAAAGATGAACTTCAAAAGTGGCTTCAGTTCTGAGTTAGAGGGGTGTCCGGGGGCCATAGTCTCAGGGGTTCCTCCAGTCTCTGTCAGACCAGTAAGTCTGGTTTTTTTTGTGTGAATTTGCATCTTGTTCTACATTTTTCTCCTCTTCTGTCTGGGACCCTGTATTGGGATCCCTGTCAGAACAGTCAGTGGTGGTAGCTGGGCACCATCTAGTTCTTCTGGGCTCAGGTGTGTGGAGGCTGTGATTCATGTGGTCCTTTAGTCATTTGAGCTAATATTTTCCTTGTGTCTTTGGTTTTCTTCATTCTCCTCTGCTCCAGACGGGATGGGACCAGTAGAGGTATCTTAGATGGGTGCTCACAAGCTTTTAAGATCCCAGAAGCTACTCACCAAAGTAGGATGTAGAACATTTTCTTTATGAACTATGCTATGCCAATTGACCTAGATGTCCCCCGAGACCACGGTCTGTAGCCCTCAGCCCCAGTAACTTGGTCTCTCAACGTGTTGGGATATGTTTAGGAAGCTTTTATGATTGTGCCCCTTTGTACTCTATGGTAACCCAGTGAGGGTGGGTCCTGCCTGGTGCAACCCCTCAAGTCAATTGAGAGACACCAGGCCTTTGAGAAAGAGAAAATAGACTTTATTGCAAGCCAGTCAAGCAAGGAGCTTGGAAACTAAATCTCAAGTTCCCTGAGGTTGGAGATTTCAGGGTAGTTACAAGGTTCAGAATAGGGAAGTAATGCATAATTCATGTGTGGGGCGTGCAGTGTCATGGCGTCCAGGGGTATGTTTTTCAGGGTGTGAAGCATGAAGTTCATCTAAGAACAGCTTTGAGGCTTATTGCGCATGTCCCAAAGGAGGGGGAGCAGTAAAGTGGCTTTGGGCTGCTACACAGGATGCCTTATCAGGGACTAGTTGACCATAGACCCAGGGTGTAATGGATGGAGAGGGAACAGTTTAACCTTGTTGGTTGTACTATTATATATATGATTATACATGCTATACATACAAATATGTATGTAAAATATCCACAGCCTAACCTGTATATGTACATTGTATACTCCTATAAGCCCTCTGTGATTGTTAAGGTTGTGTGTCTGCTTGGCTGGGCCATGATTTTCAGTGGTTTGGCAGTTATGATGTAGTCTGGCAGTCATATAATGATGCAGTCATCTCCATGAAGAGATCTGATATAATGTGACTGCCTCCATGATGGGATCTGCTGTGAGTGGCCAATCAGTTGAAAGGGACTTTCCTTGGGGGTGTGGCCTGCATCCAATATAGGTGGACTTTCTGGCAAGGCATGTGGGCTTTTGCTCACTCCAGATCCTGCAGCTGGCTCCTGTTCATCTGACCCCCGTTCTTGGGACTTTAGCTAGCAGCTTACCTGCCACCTTGCTTGCTGATCTTGGGATTCATCAGTCTCCGCAGTCTGTGAGCCAGGAGAAGCCTCCAGCTTGACCCATGGACTTGGGACATTCCAGCCTCTACAATGCCATGAGCTATGTCCTTGATAAAAATCTCGGTCTATATATATATTTATATACTTTACTAGTTTTGCTTCTCTAGGGAACCCAGGCTAAGACATCTTCCCCAGTCCTTCTCCTATTCAGCATACATATCTGCTTATGTATCTGCTTGTAAATTATTTGTTTTTACTGTTGTTGTAGGGTTATATATGCTATAGTATTTACTGTGGTTGCCTTTTTCTTTTTCTTCTTGTGTTCCTATAAGTGTCTTCCTTTGCCTTGATCAAGTTGTGCTGACTTCCCCTTTATTGTGTATTGTCTTTCCCTTCACCAAAGTTAACACTTGTCTACTATCTAGTTAGTGATTTCCTCTACTACCACTCCCTTCTCTCATAACTATCAAAGATTGTTTCTTTCTGTGTATAAACCTTTTCTTGAGTTTTTATACTAGTGGTCTCATACAATATTTGTCCTTTTGTGACTAATTTCATTCAGCATAATGTCCTCCACATTCATCCATGTTGTGAGATGTTTCACAGATTCATCATTGTTCTTTATCGTTGCATAGTATTTCATTGTGCATATGTACCATAATTTGTTTATCCATTCATCTGTTGATGGGCACTTAGGTTGTTTCCATTTTTTTGCTATTGTGAATAATGCTGCAATGAACATGGGTGCGCGTATGTCTATTCATGTGATCGTTCTTATTTCTCTAGGATATATTCCAAGGAGTGGGATTGCTGGATCATATGGTATTTCTATTTCTAGCTTTTAAAGGAAGTGCTATATCATTTTCCATAGTGGTTCTACCACTTCACATTCCCACCAGCAATGTATGAAAGTTCCAGTCTCCCCACAACCTCGCCAGCATTTATTGGTTCCTGAATTTTTTGATCAGTGCCATTCTTGCAGGGGTGAAATGGCATCTCATCATGGTTTTGATTTGCATCTCTCTAATGTCTAATGATCACCAGCATCTTTTCATGTATTAGTTGGCCGCCTGAGTGTCCTCTTTGATGAAGTGTTTGTTCGTGTCCTTTGCCCATTTTGTGATTGGATTGATTATCTTTTTATTGTTGAGTTGTTGGAGTTTTCTGTATTATTTTAGAGATTAAACTTTTATCAGATATGTCATTGCCAAAGATTTTTTCCCAGTCTGTAGGTGTTTTTTTTACTCTCTTGGAAAAGTCTTTTGATGAGCATAAGTACTTAATTTTTAGGAGATCCCAGTTATCTAGCTTATCTTTGGGAGTTTGTGCGTTTTTAGTTATGTTTAATATTCTATCTATGCCATAATTTAGGGCCCCTAGCATTGTCCCTATATTTTCTTTCATGAACTTTAAAGTTATAGGTTTTACATTTAGGTCTTCGATCCATTTTGAGTCAGTTTTTATGTATGGTGTGAGGTATGGATCCTGTTTCATTTTTCTGCAAATGGCTATCCAGTTTTGCCAGCACCATTATCTCTTCCTCATTTAATGGACTTCGACCCTTTGCAGAAGATCAGGTGTCCATAACCCAAACCAAAGCCATTGCTGTCGAGTTAATTCCAACTCATGGCGACCCTATAGGACAGAGTAGAACTGTCCCATAGGGTTTCTCCAAGGCTGTAAGTCTTTACAAAAGCAGACTGTCACAACTTTCTCCCACGGAGTGGCTAGTGGGTTCAAACTGCTGCCCTTTTGATTAGCAGCCAAGCTCTTTAACCACTGAGCCACTAGAGCTCCTTCCAGGTGTCCATAGGTGGATGGCTTTATTTCTGGGTTCTCAATTCTGTTCCATCATTCTATATGTCTGTCGTTGTACCAGTACCAGGCTGTTTTGACTACTGTAGCTGTTTAGTAGTTTCTGAGATTGAGTAGTGTGAGGCCTCCTACTTTTTTTTTTCCAGTAGTGTTTTACTTATCTGGGGGCACTCGTTTGGTTTTGATTTCCTCAATAGTCGATTAGTTCCAACACCTGCTTCTGATGCCTCAGCTGCTCTCCTTATCAGCACTGCAGGGAGGCCACAGTAATGGAGCTTTAGGAGTCTGAGCACAAGGAGTGTCTAGGGGTCAGTCTAACTCAGTTCAAGAAGGTCGAAGAGGAACAAATGCACATTAAGGCAACAGGGAGCAGAGGCCTGAGGAATCAGCTTCATGTCTTGGGGCCAGCAATTTACTGAGAGGCCATGGCACTTGAGGGTCGCTCTAACCATGCCTATGAAGACCAGTTAGACCAGGCTCTAGAGGACAAACACAGTCCCTTAGTGCCTGCCCAGGAACCACTTTCTGGACATTAAGCATTTTTGTGATCAAGTCAGAAAATTCCATAGGGGCTTCCCTCCTAGTGCAGTGGGGCTCAACTCTTCTGTTCTGCTTAATTAGAGGGACATTAGAGTGACCATACATTCAGGCTGAATATCTGGCTGCATCTGATAAGCATATTATGCACATAACAATAGCTATCTTCTTATTTTTTTAAAAAATGTCAACATTTCACATTTTAAAAATGCAGTTTTTAGAGGTAAAATTACAAAAAGCTCAAGAAGGACTTTTCTGTGATACTCCAATATTGTGTATATGATTATAATATTATGTGTATGAATATACAGCCAGTTTGTGGGTTTGGGATTCACTGGAGCCCAAAGGAAAGCTTTCTGAATATTTTCCTATGAAGTAACCACACCACGCATCTATCAGTTTGTCTTACTGTGATGGCTTGCATGTTGCTATGATGCTGAAAATTATACCACCAGTATTTCAAGTACCAGCAAGGTCACTCATGGTGGACAGGTTTCAGCAGAACTTCCAGACTAAGACAGACTAGGAAGAATGGCCTGGCAATCTACTTCCAAAAATTAGCTA